ATGGTGATGGGGACGCGTGTCGTGTTATGTGAATGTAGTGATTGCAAGCAGGCTCGACGTCACCTTTTGCTCACAGGGGGCTGAGTCATACTTGCAATAACAGCATTATAGGAGGAGGACAACTGGACACGAAGGCCTCCACCTCTGTTTAACGGTGGATGGTTTTTCTTCACAAAGATGACTTCCTTTACTCCTCTCTCAAACCAACGTTCCTCTCTATCAAGGATGAGAACATCTTCATCCCTAAAAGAGTGACTGCTGGCCTGTAGATGAGTATAAACTGCAGAGTTCTGACCTGACGATGTAGCTCATCTGTGCTGGCTCATTCTATTGAACAGTGGCTGTTTTGTTTCCCCAATGTATGACTGATCACAGTCCTCCTGACACTTAACAGCATACACAATATTACTCTGTTTTTGCCAGTGAACTGGATTTTTGGGGTGAACCAATCTTTGCCATAATGTGTTTTGGGGTTTGAAAGCCACTGGGAAGTCATGTTTAGAGAATAAACGTCTCAGTTTCTCTGAAACTCCCGCCACATATGGAATGATGACAGGTTTGGGTCTGGGTTTAGGGTCTTCATTTTCACCTGGTTGTTGGCTGGAATCCTGTTTGGGTTTCTTGTCTGCTTTCAGAAAAGCCCAGTTAGGATAACCACACTGCTCCAGGGCCTGTTTTGTGTGTGATTTCTCTTTCTGCCTGGCTCCTGTGTTTGTGGGGACACTGTCTGCTCTGTGGTACAGAGTTCTGATCACTCCTAACTTGTGTTCCAGTGGGTGATGGGAATCAAAATGCAAATATTGGTCTGTATGGGTGGGTTTGTGATACACGTCAGTTTCCAATCATCCTCCATCCGAAACTGAGACATCATAGTTCAGGAACGCCAACCTGCCATTTTTTACATCCTCTCGTGTGAACTTTTTATATTTATCCACAGCGTTGATGTCATCAGTGAAATGTTGGACTTCCTGGGCTTTAATTTTAACCCAGGTGTCGTCAACATATCTGAACCAATGGCTCGGTGGTGTCCCTGTAAAGGACATCAGAACTCTCTTTTCCACTTCCTCCATGTACAGGTTTGCAATAATAGGGGAAACTGGGGATCCCATGGCACACCCATGTTTCTGCCTATAATATTGCCCCCCGTACGTGAAGTAGGTTGACTCCAGGTACAGTTTCAGAAGTTGACACAGTTCTGTGGAAATAGTGGTTCTGCTGCTAAGAGTGGTGTCTGATTTTAATCTTACACAGACCACATCCACTGCCTTATCAACAGGAACGCACGTAAAGAGTGATGTGACATCAAAGGAGACCATAGTTTCATCCGCCTCCATGATGACATCCCTCACCTTGTTCACAAAGTCCATGGTGTTTCACCTGAAACTAATCAGACTGAAGAAGTCTCTTGGAGGAGAGACGAAATGTTTTACTAAAGAAGAACCCACCCAGAGGACCTACTTATTTTTTCTTTTTGATTAAATTCTGTAAGGTTTTTAAAAGTTAACATTTTTGTCATACTAGGATTTATTGTATTACAGTTTTGAATGTACCTATTTAAAGTAGACATGCTTTTAAATCCTTCCTTTTTTCACATTTAAATCTAGCCTGGCCCTTGCCATTTTACGCAGTTCCGTTCAGTCCTAGTTTCCCTTCACTGCTCCGTCTGGGATTTCTCCGACAGACAAGGATTTCTTCAGTAGAATTTTACCTGGGCCAATCGGAGAACAGAAGGAGGAGTTTTGAACGACATTAATTTTCTGCGCAGTGTCTGTCTGCAGTTTAGCAGTGACAGTGGAGGAAGTGAATGAAGCCAGTCCGTGTTGATAAGGCTTCTAGATTAGATGAAATTTGTCTGACAAAGCAGCAGCTCTCATTTACAGTCGTCTCATTCGGCTCGGTACTTCTCTCAGTAGTGTTGTTTACAGCGTACGCAAATTCCGGTTAGCTTCTTAGCTTAGCCTCCTTCACAGTGGAGCTGGTGCACACAAATGTCGCAGCCAACCGTAAGTGATTGGGTAAATCAGATCCAATCGTTTCAAACTTCATCAGAGTCCACACCTCCAGCAAGCAATTGCTTCTTAATAGCCAAGAGTCCAGACCCTCTGTACGAAGCAAAGCGGAGAAAAAGGGGCTGGTTTATACCAGGCTAATTGAAGTCAGTTGGGGTCTTTATAAAGTGGAACTGCAATGCTATGGTTTGAATTCGTCCTTACGTCTTCTTGAAGTCTGTGCAGCAGTGCTCTTTAAAAACCAAGCAAAAATATCTCCCAAGGGAGATAAATAAAAAACTTGGCTTGACTTGTGTGTGTTTGTAGCTCGTAAAATTTCAACTTCCAAAGTACTATTTACTGTAAACGTGATGCAAACATACTAAAATTTAAGGTCAATGTGAGACTTTGAACTAGGAAATTATACCCGTTAAGACAACATCATAAAACTTCAGTTGAACAGAATTTACAAAATGACGTAAGACAAGGAACAATTGGCATTCTTTGGGACAAATGCACACCACTCAAAGAGTTTTACACCAAGATCATCTGATGATGAGGAAGGACAGAGTTGCAGCTGTTTTGGTCAAACATTATCTCATGTTAATATTGTGAGAACTTGTGAAATTTATCAGTGCTTAGAGTAAATGTTGTGGATGATACTCAGCTACTACCATATCAACCTTTACTTCAATATCTCTAAATTAGACTGTTTTAGCTGGTGTTGCGTTGGCTGAAGTTGAATAGTGGTGGCCATTTTGAGTTTGGTTGACTCGAAAAAGAATCAGCTGTAGATACAGCCGATGATTATTTTCTGAAAGTTTCAAATCTGTCCAGTGATTCACAAAATATTTTACCGATAGACAGGCTGTAACAGTTAATGCAAAAGTTTTGAACAAAGGTGTTGCTCAACATGTTGAGCTCAGATTATGTGTTGAGGATGACTCTCAGGACCTAATCTACTACAGGTTTGTGTGTAAAAAATGTGCAAACTTGAAGCTGATCTACTCACCATGTGCACCGAGGACTGGATGTGTCAAATGAGCGAAAAAGACACAATCCATTTAGCATGTTTGCCTTCGTGAATATGCAGAATATATGATTAACAGAACACACAAAATACTGGGAGGAGGCTATACAAACATAATCATTTAGCACCTTAATTTGATTGATCAAACCTGAAACTGATTGTGGCTGCTGTTTTATATTTGGCACGTTTGTGAAGCAGGTGCAAACTGACACAGCATTATAAACAACTGTCTGCATTTATTATGGCAAGAAGGAGGCATGGATAGAATGACAGACAATAGAGAGAGAATGTTCTGTGCATGTGCCAACATATTTGGACTGTCAGAAATAAAAATAATAGACATATCATCTATCCAGCAATGTCATTTTTGATCTGCTGGAGGACCTAGAGCAGGGGTGTCAAACTCCAATCCTCGAGGGCCGCTATCCTGCATGTTTTAGAGGTTTTCCAGCTCCAACACACCTGATTCAGTGATTGAATTAACTCTTCAAATTGGGCAGAAGCCTGTTAATCACCCAGCAATCAAAATCAGGTGTGTTGGAGCTGGAAAACCTCTAAAACATGCAGGATAGCGGCCCTCGAGGACTGGAGTTTGACACCCCTGACCTAGAGGCTGATTTGTAGCCAGTCATAAATAAGGCCATGCTATAGCTATGGAAAAAAAAAAAAAACTCTTTGCAACATTGGATTTTCTTGCATCTGCATCATTTGTCTCCATCACCAAGATAGGAAAAGCAAATTCCTCATTTCTACAGGGTGGTCCGCATCACTTTTGAACTCGTCATTTGCCAGGCAATCTTAGTAGATCAGCTGCATCACATCCACTAATAGCATGTATAAGTTTTTATTTTGCACAATGTAGTGCTCGTTATTTGGGACCTTTGTAGATCAGCACCTTAGTCACTAACACAACTTCATGAATCTGATTTATCAGGATCACAGATAGCCAGCACTAATTTGCTGCTCAAATTAAAAAGTAGCACCAAGTGAACGTGATGCATGTGATTTACCAAGACCACAAGCACAAAAAGGTGCAACGTGGGTGCAGACCACCTGTTTGAAATGTGGATTTAGTGCTACTGATGGAAGAAAGCCAGAATCATGAAATGTAGTGTTGCAAAGAGTTTTTCCGTAGAGCTGAGGTCTTTCTAGCCTTGACAAAAAAAGTATTTAAGTTTGATCGGTCACTACTCGGAGGTCGTGCCTAGAGTTGAGGGTAGAAACGGAGGTTGATGGGTATACAGAGAGCTTGTTATTCTTCAAAAATAAAATAAAAAAAACTATCCAGATATATCGCACCTCCTGGATAGAGTGAATTTAATTATGGCTGGACATGAAGAAGTATAAACACAGTATTTGCTAACACTACAAAGTCACTCATAGTCAAAACCATCATTGCTTTTCCTTCTGTGACAGCTGTTCAGCTGACAAAAAGTAATTTATTGCTGATAATGTTGACTGAAAACACAAGCTTAATTATTTACTGTGGTTGCAGACGTTACCTCCCCCAGTTTCCTGGAATCTCTTTTGCAAAAATGCAGTTAAAATGTAAAGTAAAAAAAAAAAGAAGATGAAAGGAAGACCTTAGGAAAGTCTGGAAAAATATTGATTCAAACCACTTTAAACTTAAGTTTGAATGATTGCAAAGAAATTATAAAACAAGAAGAGAACATGGAATGAATGACTAAAATGGAACAATTTTGTAAGACTATTTGCAGACTGAGGGTGTTTCTGCATTAAAAAACTATTATTATTATTATTATTATTATTATTATTATTATTATTATTATTATTATTATTATTATTTCGTTATGTCTGACATTAACTGTCTCTCACCAACAGAAGGCGCTCTCGTTACAGTTTCAAACCTGCAGCTGTCAGGATGCTCTCTCGTCCCGCGCTGCCGCGGGGATTTAGTGGACAAAAGGGAGCGCGCGCTCAGTTCATCCTCCCGAGCGCGCGCGTTCGTCGTGTTTGCCGACATGACTTCAAACCGGTTTTGTCGTTGGGAAAACAAAGTCGACGAGGTCGCGCGCCCGGAACGCCTGCGCGCTTTTACGCACGGCCACAAACATCCACAGTCTGTGTGACGCACGGCGCGACTACATCTGATCCAGGAGCAGGGTCAGAGATTAATGGGAGCAGAGAGAATAATGGAGGGTTTGTGGTACCCGGGGGTCTGAGGGTCCTCGGAGGACGAGTCCGGGATCGGAGGAGGAGGAAGGAACGGAAAAGAGGATTTGTTTACAAAAGCAGCAAGTTGGAGAGGCTCCTCCTCTCCGTCATGTCGGAACCTCCTTAATTACTAATTTCTCCACATCCAAGCCACGCTTTCCCTCCCCCTCTTTTTCCTCTCTCTCTCTCTCTCTTTCTCTCTGTCTCGCTCCACTCCTCCATCCCTCCATCTCTCTCTCTGAGCCTCCTTTTCTCTCCTCTCTGTCTGTCTTTGGTTTACAGCCCGGAGGACGGAGGCGGACCAGCTTGGAGCAGCAGTTTTAGTTATTATTCTTTTTTATTATTTATTCTTTTTTTTCTTTTGGGAGACTTGCCACCGGGCATGGAGGATGTAAAACCCCCGCAGACCGTCCACCGGTCCTCCTCCTTCAGCATTAAAAGTCTCCTGCTGCCCTCGAAGTGCGACCGAACGGACCCGGTCCCTGCCCCCGCCGCTGCGATCCTCGGGATCCCCGGGACCCTGTCCCCATCTCCGGGCTCGGACTCGGACAAGTCGCTGGGCCCGCTGGAGGTGGACTCCACCGCCGCGGTTCTGGACCCGGAGAAACCGGGCAAAGAGGAGCAGGGAGCAGAGGAGGAGGAGGAGGAGGAGGACGGAGGGGGAGGCGGAGGTGGGACTGACGCCCAGGCGGCACCGGAGCAGAACACGAACGGGACCAGCGGGGGTAAAAACGGCAAATATGACAAGCCCCCCTTCAGCTACAACGCTCTGATCATGATGGCGATCCGGCAGAGTCCGGAGAAGCGGCTCACCCTGAACGGGATCTACGAGTTCATCATGAAGAACTTCCCCTACTACCGGGAGCACAAGCAGGGCTGGCAGAACTCCATCCGGCACAACCTCAGCCTCAATAAGTGCTTCGTTAAGGTGCCGAGGCACTACGACGACCCGGGCAAAGGGAACTACTGGATGCTGGACCCGAGCAGCGACGACGTGTTCATCGGGGGGACCACCGGGAAGCTGCGCCGGCGCTCCGCCACCTCCCGGGGGAAGCTGGCCATGAAGCGCGGGCTGCGCTTCGCTCCTCTCGGCCTGGGGATTAACGAGAGGTCCAACAACCCGCTGTACTGGCAGATCTCCCCGTTCCTGTCCCTCCACCACCACCACCACCACCACCCGCACTACAACGGCTCGTCGCCCGGCTTCCTGAACCAGGCGGCCGGGTACGGCTCGCTGCTGCCCGCCGTGGAGCAGCTGAGCAACGGGGACCTGGGCCGCTCCATCCTCGGGGGCTCGGCCGCGGGGCCGCTGGGGCTGACGAACACTTACGGGATGAACTCGTCTCCCGTGGGGCTGCTGTCCGGTCAGTCTGGGGGCTATTTTGTCTCAGGGAGCCAACACGCCGCCGCCGCCGCGACGGGGCCGCCCGGGGGAGGCCCGCCCCCGCCGCCTCCCCCTCCGCCGCACCTCCAGCAGGGCGCACCGGCGCCGGGGGGCTTCAGCTCCCCGCAGTCCCTGCTGTCGGACTCCCTGAGAAACACCTCCCTACCGGCCTTCTCTCCGGGGGTGTCCCCGGGATTCCCCGGAGTGCTGTCCCATCAAAAGAGGGTGACCCCTAACGCTTTCCTAAACTGACCCCCCCACTCCCTCACCCACAACTCACCCATACCTCTCCGTGGATGGAGCGGACGAACAAAGGGCAAAAAACAAGTGGTAATTATGAAACACTGAACTGAAACAGAAAAATATAAAAAGTGAAACTTTAAGGCCGTATATTCCGCCATGAAACGCAGAGGTTATTTTTTCTTTTTTCCTGTTTATTTTTGCTGATAAAAAGGGAGAAACTTTTGTTACCCGCGGGTTGTAAAACTGTAAACTAGACTTGCCAAAGGTAACAGTAAAAATATATTTCAAGCTATTTATATCTTGTACAAAGATGTTCAGAACTTTCTTTAAGTCATTTATTTATGTTTTGTATTTATTGTATTTAAATTCTCAGTGTTTCAGTATTAAAACAGGGTTTTATATTTATGAATTTAGAGACAATCAAAGAGAACAAACAAGACAATCAGAAGTGTTTGACAAGGAAAACAAGCAGTTTATGAAAGCCTTAAATCTGAGTAAAACAATCAGGGCTTTTCAGAGGAAAAAGAAGCCTACAATCATATCTGTACTCAGGTTTGACCCTAGACAGGCCTATTATTATTATTATTATTATTATTATTATTATTATTAAGAATGAAAGTGTTCACTGTGAGAGGTTTCTTTCCAAAATAAAGATATCTAGATATAAAATTAGACTTTATTTCTGTGCGTCACAAACGCAAACTTTTTTAAATCTGATTAACTTTATTTTTTAGAATAAAACTCTTCATAAAAATATAAGAAATATGCAAATAAAAGCAGGTTTTCTTTTGTAGCTGATTAACTGACAATCAGTCGGGTTTGATGTACGTGTGTGTGTGTG